CATAAAACAATGCACTTTATCACGTGACCTGTATCTGCCCGGGCGCGCGCTCTTAAAAAAATCCTTAGGGAAAATGCCGTGAGCAGGGCAGTACAGCTTTGTGCGAGCAGAGCCGTACGAATCCGTATGGCCCTGCTCGAAACCTGCGACCGTATTTTCTTTCTTTTCTTTTCTTATTTTTCTTTTCGTGAGGTTCATATGATAAAATGCTCATTGACTGAGTTAGGTCGGGCCGTACGGGAAAATATTTGGCTCTCGGTCATTTGTAAGAGCCTCGCTGCGCTCGGTCCGGCACGGCATCACCTCGAGCCAAATATTTTCCCCTACGGCCCTCCCACTCAGTCAATAAGTACATGGAACCGATCATTGGTTTTCTACAAACTCGGCAGACTAAACTATGCGGCCCACAATCTATATACCAAGAATCTGAAATTTTTTACAGGAATCGACCGATTTTTAAGCGAACAGAGGACAAAAGTGTAACTATTATTAATATTTATAGAGATGCACTGAACTTAATGTTCAGATGCTACTGGTCATTATATGATTTACGCTCGGCCAAAAGTCGACACACCGAAATATGGCGACTAATTTGAACTAGACCCTGGTTCCAGGGTAAGCTGGGATACCTGGAGGACCTGGAGGACCTGGAGGACCTGGAGGACCTGGAGGACCTGGAGGACCTTGAGGAAATGGTTTCAACATGCATGGAGTATTTAGTTGGTTGAGCTTCCAAATCAAGATAACACGTGAGCAGCACCTTTGCCCTGATTGGACAGTTGCTTGTCATGGTGTCGAGGGCGCAATGTTGACGTAATGAATTATTGCGGAACTTGTTTATTTTGTCGGACGGGAACCAGCAGGAATCAGAAAAAACAGACGTGTTTTACAACTTACTGGTAAACCACAGTTATCTCAGTAAAAAAAGACGGCGCTAGGACGAGTGCGGGGTCGTGGGGAGTGGAGGGATGATGGGGTCTTAACCTGGCATTTTTTGCCATAGGTAGAGTGTGTGTAGACTGTTTGTTTTAAACCATAGGATCACTAGAACAACAAATTTATTCACAGGAAGTTACTTTCAGATGAAAATATTTTTTTATCAAAGCTTCTTACGCCGCCAGACTACGAGAGAAAGCCGACCAACTCGATGACAGAACAACTCGAGCATTTGATCCAAACGATAAAAAACGAAGACCTTGTCAAGGAATGCATTCGAAAAAAATGGAATCTTGATCGATTCATAAAGGAAGCAAGTGAACGCGAGGACATTAAGCAGCTAGTAAGTGAGATGAAATCGGAGTTTAAAGTGGCTCGTGTCCATAGCAACCGACCATCCTTCAATCGACGACCTGACAACAGAAGACAAAAGAAACAAAACTTCACTCAGAAGGAAAAACAGCAAACCCAGAACGAAAACAAGCAAGCAGATAAACCCTGTCATTATTGTGGTAACGCAGGAACACACAAACAAGGCCAAAGCTGTCCGGCCTATGGAAAACAATGTCTCAAATGTGGCAAGTACAACCATTTCGCAAGATGCTGTAACAGCAGAGGAAAACTGGAGACGACAGGCAGCAACAGAGCAACACCAAGGCGTGGCCAACACCAAGAACAAAGACGCGTAAAGAAGACAACCGAATCAAGCAGTGAGGACGCGAGTACCAGTTCAGAGCACTGAAACACAAATCAACCATAATAAATGAGCTAAATCCCAGCAAAGAGCGAGTACGAAGTAAACTATAGAAGTAAAAGGGGAATTTATGACAACACTCAGAAACAAGACTAGAGGAGTAAAGACAAAGTTCCTAGTTATAGCCGGAAAGATGGACTCACCACCACTCATCTGCAAAGACGCACTAATAGAGCTCGGAATGCTAAAGATTGAACCAGAGGGTAAACTAAGAGAACCCAACGACTTCAGGATAAAAACAATCAAATCACCAAACCAACTAGAAGAGTTACTAGCAGAGCACAGCAACGTATTCGAGGGTATAGGATGCTTCAAAGAAAAAGGAACCGGAAATAACATGGAAGTAAAGCTAGAAATGGACGCGGAACTGAGCAAAGCCAGTAGCACAGAAACCACGAAATGTATCGTATCATCTTCAGACACCACTCAATAATGGCTAGATGAGGGAGTAGAGAAAGAAATCTCCGAGAAGGTACCAGCCAATGAAGCAATAACGTGGTCAATAGTGATACAACCCAAACCGAAATTTGCAGAAACAGACAAGGATGAACTTGAACCACACATGATAAGAGCAAGCATCGACATGAGAATCCCGAACGAATCAATGAAAAGAAGCAGATGTGTCCAAGCACCAAGGATAGACGACTTCATATACCACCTTCACGATTGTACGGTATTCTCAAAGCTTGACCTAAAGCAAGGATACCATCAACTAACACTTGATACAGAGACACGCAAAGTAGCTACATTCAGGACACCGTGGGGAAACTACCGACCACGACGGCTTATTTTCGGAGCCAAATCATCGCAAGATGTATTTGATGAACCAATGTTTAAAATCTTCGGAGACATACCGCACTGCCTTAATCAGAGGGATGACATCCTACTCGGTGGAAAAGATAAAGAGGAACACCTACAAGTACTAAGAACTGACCTGAAGAGAGCACAAGATCACGGAATCACATTCAACAAAAACAAATGTGAATTCGAGAAAGAGGGAATCGAGTTCTTTGGACGTGTGTTCACGAAGGACGGGTTGAAACCATCACCGGATAAAGTAAAGGCAATCAAAGAACGCGGAAAGCAAGACCAACCAACCAAGAACACAGCTTACAAAGAAAAAAGACAGCAGCTGACCAGGAACAGAGACCACAAAGAACCAGATGGCAAACAAAGAGGTTTGAGGACTATTATGTATACAAGTTAAGTACAACACAGGAGAAACCAACGGACATTGTTAAGTTGAAACTTTGTACCTTAGATAATGACTGTAAATATAATCAAACAAATATACACTTGCGAAAAAAATATAGTTAAGGAGAAATGTAGTATCCAATCAGAATCTATCATGTAATTATGTTCATTAATTAAAAGTAATTGATATCATAATGGCGTAGAGTCGTTACATGTTTTCACTTGAACACGAGTATAGTCCGTCCATAGCAATAGTTATTCGAATTCTTCGCCACTATTTCGTTTCGGTGTATTTGCCATTCTTTTCACTGCTACGCGTTGATCGAGACAACAGTCACAACAGAGAAATAGGGCAAAACACTGCCGCCAATCAGGGAATATGAAGGTACCGACCAATTTATTTAATTGACGAAAGCGTTTGGTTATTGAGTGTCTGTGTTTGAAGAAGGATTGTAACACAAAGCTTACATACATACACACAAACTTATTATTGTTTCAGCGGGATTTCTGCATAATGCGTTTCAACATATGAAATTAATTCAGGGCTTTCTATTTTACGTAGGTTAGTAGTTATTTTCCTATAGTTGAAGTCCGAAAAGTGTTCGGTACAGTTGATATTTGACTAGGAAACCCTGTTGACAACTGAATCAAAAAACCAAGATACAGTTCGATTTTTGGCGGGTTCATTAAGGTTTGTACCAATTGTCAAGATATTCCGACGCTAACTTTTTTCTCATACGTCTACTAAAAGAAAAATTCAGATCTATTTATTAGATATTTTAGGGTGGATAACGAGTGAATATTTTTTCGAGTCAATACAAAGGACGACAAAAACTATAACCAACTCGTATTCCACCTGTCAGTGCACCCTGACATGTCTAATAAGTTATTTATTACTCAACTGAGCTTAATTTTTCCCAAAAAGAAGGCTTCAAACCTTTCTTTAAACTAGTTTTCAAAACCTTTTTTACTGTACAAAATAACCTAGAGTACAATTGTTGGATGTGTTTTTGATGTTACCAGCAATTATAATTTAATTCTGCAAAGGACGTGACTGTGCATGGTATGGAAAAAGACCATGCCTAATATGAGACCGTATAAGCACTTCTCATCTGCTCGCGCTGGGTACGATAAGGTTTAGGGGGAGTTTGAGCATTTCTTTGCAGAATTAAATAATAAACAACTTATCAGTAGCCTAAGCATCTGATAAGTACAGCTTTGCATTTTTACTCGTTACTTGTATTTTGTCCCTCACCTAAAGCTCGCCAAAATACTCCGTGACCCGTAAAAATACACAGCCGTATCAGATGCTTAGCCTACTGACAACCTAGTCTATTTATCAATGTCGAGGTAAGTGTTTTCTGCTTGATTTGAGTAATGAAGGTTTGTACTTTAAATATGTTATTGACTGTGACTTCTATTAAGGCTTCATTAAATCAACAAAATTGAACTGGTTCACACAAACAGTATTCAAAGAGCATCATTATTTTAATCATGGTTTAACTAGAGGGGAATTTAGATTTGTTTTCTCATAATGGCCAGCATTTAGTCATTAGGAATTACAAACGTCGCAGTTATTAACATATTGGAAGTACAGCTGCGAGTACGATGACGTAATTTGTTTTGATCAAGAACATGAAATTCTTGGAAATTCAAGCAAAAAACAAGCAAATGTCAAAAGTGGCAAGATCCTATCGCTTTGGAAGATATCTGAGAATTTGAGGACAGATATCTTGATGGTTTCCAAGTTAACGTTATGAAATTTGAGAGTAAATGTATGTTGGTAGGCAAGATGTTGCCAACCAACATAGATTTACTGCAAAATTTAGCAACTTTAATTTATTATAGCTCCTGGACTAATAATGCAACCGCTCTCAAACTGATAAATATTATCAACAGTTATGACTTCTTTGTATTTCTTAAGTTCAATCGTTTATGGCTCAAAAGTTAATTTTCTGAAATGTAAAAATTACGCCCAGTATACGTTCATAACTCAAAGACTTCATATTTACGTAGCGTTCCTGCTGAATGCACGCCAAAATTCAACCTAGAAGGCATAACTAAGCAACTAGAAACCATTTTATTTTCGACCATTGTTTTTTTTATTTMTTTTCAGGCTGACTTCTGCAGAATCATGCTAAGAATCGTAACCAACAAGGTTATCAGAAAACCTAAAACAATTGTGTCCACTATCGTCTTCATGTCTGTACTACTTTATCTTCAATACTCTTTGAGTTTAAAAGCCAAACTAAGAGGAGAGTACACAATATTCCAGGATGCCAGACTTGCATTACTGGACAATGATTCAACATTTCACAATTTTTCAACTTTACCAGCCCACCTTACTGAGCTATCATTGTTCGATGATGAAAACATCACGTCAACGTTAAAAATTGGACACGTGAACGTTCACCTTTGGAAGAAAATTTGTTCAATTACATTAGACAGCCTGAAAGAGTATCCTCTCTTTCCCCATTGGCCAGATGTTCGAGGTTGTCCCAAAATGCCTGATAATCTTGTATCGATAATGCATGGTTCTTGGAATGCACAAAGGGTAATGGGCCTTTTACACCCGCCAATTTCTGGTCTCTACCAGTTTGAAATTGCTTCAAATTTCATGTCAGAATTTTGGCTGAGCCCTAGTAGGGTTCCATCTCATGCTATTCTAATGGCTAGAATCAATAAAAACACTCTGCATGGCCTAGCATACTCTAAAGGAGTGCACATTCCAAGTTCAAAAGCTGTCCATCTGAAAAGTGGAAAGCAGTACTACTTTGAAGTGCTCAACGTTATCAATAATTTCAACTACGAACAAGTCCAGATCAAGTGGAAGATACCGGGGTCCACTGTGTTTTCGAATATTTTGAATGAGTATATATCTACGGTGTTGATCAATGATACTAGTCTAGATGCTAGAACAAGAACGGTCGTTCAAATGTCACCAAGTATTCATTCAGATGAAACACTAAAAAGACCCAATCAACAAACATGGCAGAATGATATAACGACGACGTTTGGTCGTTTCTTTAATACGTCATTTACCATGCAAAAACTCGATGACTTAATGTTTCTAAAGCAGGAAATACTAGCCACAGCATTCAACCAGTGCACCTATTCACCTAGCTATACCAAAAACCTTGACTTTAAGCCGTATAGAGGGGTTTATTTTACCCATTTCTCTGATGTTTTCCCGGCGGATGACACTGGCGGGAAAGTCTGGAAGGGTTATGTGGAAAAAGAAGATCATCGTGGCAACACTTTGATTGAAGAACCAGTGGTGATAGATGTGGTGAAAAAGTTTATGTCTTCGTTGGAAGATACTTACCCAAAGTGAGTTACTATTAGATTTTAAGTCATTTAACCCGTGAAATAAAAATTATTAGTCAACGTGTGTAATATTCAAATAGACACAAAAGAAACAATGGAATTAGGGTCTACTAAAGTGTGTTAGTCAGTAAGGTCTATTTTACGGGTTTAATGACTTCACTCTATAGTTACCATCGCTATTGCCTATATGTACAGCCATGAAATACGCACGACTTTGCACCCTACTACTAGAGAGTGATATTATTTAACCCATGAAAAAAATGACCATTTAGTTAGTAATAGTTTATATATTTCTATTGACTTTATAGTTTATGGTGATGCACCTCGTAAGGGACAATTGTCCTTTTATGTAAGCATCTGCCTTATGGCAAATTATTTAAATTTTAAAAAAAATATATATATATATATACATATATACTGCGGTTTG